CCCCCCCCCCCCCCCCCCCCCCCCCCCCCCCCCCCCCCCCCCCCCCCCACCCCCCCCCCCCCCCCCCCCCCCCCCCCCCCCCCCCCCCCCCCCCCGCCCCCCCCCCAAAACGTTATTCTGAATTCAGAAAAATGGTCTGATTTGAAATCAGCGCTGACAAAACACGAGAATGAAGCAAAACTCAAAATAAATTGGGAAGATTGGATAATTATCTCTAAGAATAATAATGCGTACAGACTCTTAAATCTTTAAAATTAAAGTAACCTTGATTGGCAAGAACTTTTCAAAGATACTTTTGGTTTTCCCAGTAAACTCAGTAGGAAAATAAGTCCTAAACTCCATAATTCAGGGGAGAAAGATTTCGGGATATGTATAACTATACGAGCTCTGCAACATATCTGCAAAATGGAGGGCTTTGCGGTGAGTTACATGGCGCAAAGATCTCGTCGGGTACTCGCGTTTCTTGGATCCGTGAGCTCCGCTGTTGGTTTTCACAGTATCTTGTACTACATTTAACAGACATCAAAGAAGCCGCTTTCTTTCCGTTCTCTTTTATGCCATTTTTCTTTGCTTTGATATTTTATCTTTCTATTCACACTGTAGGGAGAGATATAAAGCAAGAATGGTGAAAGCAACAAATTTTATCTTTTTATCCCGAAGAAAGATTACACTTACTGTGAAATTAGTGTATACATCACAGTCAGAGGAGTCAAGTTCAACATTTATTTTTCCAGTGAAATCACTAAAATTAAATTGAAACCCACTCATTTTACTAACTTTAATTTGTGATATTGACAGCTCTATATCTTAAAAACCAAAAGGGCCCTTTTCTGGAAAATATAGCAGTTACCCGAATTAAAATTCGGTTAAAGTTTCATTTATTCAAACTCGACGTAAAAAGTTTATTCTTCTTTGCACACTGTGCGTACGACTTCTCTGTTAAAGAACAAACTGTAGGAAAATAACTTTTTGGCTTCCTTTTTTCGCGCAAATGTTGTGGGATGACATATCACTGAATTTTTGAAACTTATGTATGCGGAATGTGTATTATTAGTTACACTTAACGTACATATTCTGCATGGAATACCTTGTAATCTT